TTTTTTTTTTTTTTAGTTAGAATTTTGTTCTACATTTTTCTCCTGCTCTATCCAGGACCCTCAGTTGTGATCCCTGTCAGAGCAGTCAGTGGCGGTAGCCAGGCACTATCTAGTTGTACTGGACTCAGTCTGGTGGAGGCCATAGTAGTTGTGGTCTGTTAGTCCTTTGGACTGATCTTTCCCTTGTGTCTTTAGTTCATTTTCCTTTGCAGCACCTGAAGGGGTGAGACTAGTGGAGTATCTTAGATGGCTGCTCACAGGTTTATAAGACCCCAGATGCTACTCACCAAAGTATAATGTAGAACATTTTCTTTATAAACTATTTTATGGTAGTTGAGCTGGATGTTCCCTGAGACCATGGTCCCCACAGCCCTCAGCCCAGCAGTTCAGTCCCTAAGGGAGTTCGGATTTGTGTGTGGAGTTGGTTTTAATTCTTCCTTAAACGTTAGGTAGAATTAATCACTGAAGACATCTGGACCTGGAATTTTCCTTCTAGGGAAGTTTTAAACAATGAATTCAAAGCTTTTAATAGAATGAGGCTACTCAGGTTATCTGTGTCTTCTTGAGTGAGTTCTTTGTGGAATGCTTCCGTTTCGTATAATTTGTTGGCTTTATTGACATAACATTGTTAATGTTCTTTAATTATCCTTTCAGTGTTTATAGGATCTCTATGATCTCTTTTTAATTCCTTAAACTGTTTATTTCTAACTATTCTTTTGTTCTTGATCATGTCTAGCTAGAGGTTTATTGATACTACATCTACTCCTACTTATCGACTATCATTATCTGACATTTCACATTTACGACAATAGTAAAAAATTTACTATCTGACTATTTTGCCGATTAACAAGGCAGTAAGTGCGGAAGCAGTGGCTGCTGAGCGTCACCTCCCTTGAAGGGGATCTCCAGATGGCCTCTGGGAAACTGGGCCATGCTGCCCCATGTCCTCTGCTCCCTCCTGCTGGTGGAGGCACCGTGTCCAGCTGCTGCTCGGGGCTGGCCTCCTCCGTAGCCGTGGCCTCCAGGTGGACAGCACAGGCAGCATCAAGCCAGTAGACGACTGTTCCGGGTTCTCAGCTCCTATGCTGCCTGGCGTCCTGCAGCTCAAAATTGCCGTGGGATGGGAAAGGAAGAAAGAAAGAAGCATTAAGGAGGGTGTTTGGAAGAAATACGTGGAGATCAATGACGTTCCCAAAGTGAGCGGAACTGGGCCTGAAGCCTCTGCCTCAGTGGTGCCTGTGGGCCAGCTGCAGGGCTGGGCTTCCAGGGACCTCGGGTGACTCACCAGGCCCAGAGGGCAGAGCAGGCTCTGGAATTGGGAACACAGGCTTGCAGGGGTGGGAGTGGAGCCCTGGAGGCGACTCTGCAAGGGAGGTTCTGACCAGGAGAAAGGTGAAGTGGTTAAGCGGTGGGCCTTCTAATCACACAGCCTGGCCTTATCCAGCTTTGTCTCCTCCAAACCTCCTTCTCTCCAGAGGAATAATCCATATGTGGACTTGTCACAGTGATGAGCACATCAGTAAATCTTAGCTATTATTCTGTGATCATTTTTCTAAATTAAAATCAGACGAATGGTCTGAAAACAAAAAAAATCCTCCATTTTCGCATAACCCCGATTTTTCTGTAACAACCTGGTCTTTGGAACCTAACCATGTCGATAAGTGAGGAGCAGATGTATTAATCTTTTCAAGAAACCAGCTTTGGTTTCATTATATTTTATTGTTTTTCTGTTTTTTATTTCATTTATTTCTGCTCTTTATTTTCTTTTTTCTGCTTGCTTTGAATAATAAGTCCTGGTGGTGAGTGGTTAAGTGCTCAGCTGCTAACCGAAAGGATGGTGGTTCAATCCAACAGCTGCTCCATGGAAGAAAGATTTGACAGCCTGCTTCTGAGAAGATTTACAGCCTTGGAAACCCTAGGGGGCAATCCTACTCTGTCCTGTAGGGTCGCTATGAGTCAGAATCCACTTGATGGCAGTGGGTTTGAGTTTGATGTTGGGTATTCTCTTTTTTTCTAGCTTCTTAAGGTGGTAGCTTAAGAGTGTTGTTTTGAGCTCTTTCTTCTTGTATAGGCATTTAGTGCTGTAAATTTTACTTTAAGCATTTCTTTAGCTGTGTTCCACAAATTTCATTTGTGGTGTTTTTATTTTCATTTTTATTCAGCTCAAATTATTTAATTTTCTCTAAGATTTCTTTGATTTGTCAGTTATTTATAAGTTTTTGTTTGTTTTTTAATACTTGAGGATTTTCCAAATATCTTTTTGGTTTTGATTTCTAATTTAATACTGCTGTGGTTAGAGAACATGCTTTGTATGATTTTAATCCTCTTAAATTTGAGAATTGTTTTATGCCACAGAATATGGTCTTTCTTGGTGCATATTATATGTACACTTGGAAAGAGTATATGTTCTGCTGTTGTTGGGTGTAGTGTTCTGTATGTGTCAGGTCAAGTTAGTTGATGATGTTTTTCTCAAGTTTTCTGTATCCTTGTTCTATCAATCACTAAGAAAGAAGTCTTGAAATCTCGAATGGTAATTTTTTAAATTACAATATTTTGAAGGTAATGGAATTAGAGGCTTATAATGTTAAGGTGAGTTGAGAGTTGTAAGGGCTACATATTTTTTTTAAGTTTTATTTTAGGAGGTGTGTTCATTCTTTCATGTGTTGTGGAATCACACACTTGGGTTAAAGTGCCAGTTCTACCATGTATCACCTCAGCAACTCCTCTGAGCCTATTCTTCTGATAAATGGAGACAGTATAAACTTTATGTAGCTATTATAGGGATTAAATGAGATAATATATGTAGAAGTCTTAACATGAGTCTAGTAATTTTAATAACACCTTTGTACTGTTATTTAAAAAAAAAACTTGCAAGCCATGGCATGAAATGAGTATTTTAATATTTGGTCAGTTTCATCTGCTAACTTCTTTTTTTTTTTTTCTATGCTTGACCTGCCCCATGGCTTTGTATATCTTTTTCCTGTTGGTTTTGTATGCTTAACTTTTATTAACAGTCTCTTTAGAGCCTTCATTGAGCATAGATTGCATTGATGGTATTGTAGAAATACTTTGTTCTTGACATAATTTTACTCACCTTGCAGTAAAGTATTAAAAAATAAAAGTGTTGGTACAGTAGATATACTTGCAAAACAAAAGACAGAAAACCAAACCTGTTGCTGTCGAGTCCATTGCAACTCATAGTGACTCTATAGGACAGTAGAACTGCTCTATAAGGTTTCCAAGGCTGTAAATCTTTAAGGAGGCAGACTGCCACATCTTTCTGCAACGGAGTGGCTGGTGGGTTCGAACCTCCAAACTTTCAGTTACCAGGCAAGAGCTTAACCACTGTGCCACAAGGGCTCCTTAGATATATTTGCAGCAGCTATAAAATCATCCCACATTGCTTCCCTGTCTGAAACTCAATCTATTTTTCTTTTCCTTCAGATAAACCAAGAAAGCTGGTGTACCATAGAACCATGCCCTGAAGCAGCATCTCTTTTGTCTCCCAAGCAGAGCCCAGGTAAGCAGAGATTTTCCAGCTTCCAATATGCTTGAATAACTGCATCCAAAATGCCCGTTTCTTGGAGCCATAGTCCCACTCTAATAACAAGCTGTGTGATTTGGAGAGCTTGCCTTTCTTAGCATGTTATGCAGTTAATTAGAGGAAGGGGCATATGTAGGTTGGGTTTGTAGGATTTTGTCTCAGAACTGAAGGTGAGCTTATGTAAGTACCTAAATTTCATGTATAATGGTAGCAGATTTCACAGATGATTTATTTATTCATCTGTAAAGGCACCTGTGCTGTGTATATACATATGATATAGGTCTTTTAATCAACAAGTGAATATATATTATTAAAAACCAAAGCTGTGGTCCTCGGTCTTGGCTGCACACTGGAATTATCTGGGGAGCCTAAAAATATATTGATGCCCAGGTCCTACCCTCCCAAATTCTGGTTTAATTGGTCTGGGAGGTGGCCTAACATCAGAATCTTTCAAAGTTCTTTTGGTTACTCTACTGTGTAGCCAAGGTTAAGAATTGAGAACCATTATACTGCCAGAACTGAGTCTTCCCTTAAGCACCCATGAAGTATGAGGAACAAAAGATGCTGTTACGACCGTCCATGTTAACAATGACACGTGCAGCACGTGACTTATGGTTAGTTAGGATTCCCACCGTTTAACTCCAGTTCAGCCACTAGCTCACTGTGACATGAACTACCTTCCCTAAGGTCTGTGTGCTGTATTGTGTCCCATCTGTAAAGTGTTACTAGCTTGCCTCATTTGGGGGAGAGGGGAGGAAGGTGTTGTAAGGATGACGTATGTGGTAATTCTATGTCTTTGTGCCTGTTTCTACAGCTGCTAAGAGAACACACTGGTAATTTGGATTCTGGGCGCTTGAGTCTTCTTTACCCAACACCATGTGTTTACCTTCCTGGTTTTTACTGACCTGCTTTAAAAATTGCTGAGGTCTTCTCAATTGCTGGTCTTTTTAGAAACAGTTTAGCTATAGATACCTTGTGGTAGTATTAAATTGAAAGACAATTGTTCAAATCCTCAGGGAGCCCTGGTGGTGCAGTGATTAAAGCACATGGCTGCCAACGGAAAGGTTGGCTGTTTGAACCCACCAGCTGCTCTGCCACAGAAAGATGCGGCAGTCTGCTCCCATAAAGATTATAGCTTAGGAAACCCTATGGGGCAGTTCTACTCTGTCCCTTAGGGTTGTCGCTATGATCCAGAATCCACTCGTTGGCAGTTGGTTTGATTTGGTTCAGATCCTCTATCTCTAAGAGATTTCCTACTGATTCTGAACTCTTTGACTTTACTACAAAGGAAGTATTGGAAAGAAATGATCAAGAGTGTTTTTCTCTATCTCACGTAGAAAAAGTAGATAAAGATATTACTATGCTAGACTTGTGTTTGGGTTCTCCAAATTTTACAAGATTGACCTTGTTTACAGATTTAGCTGACACTTCTTCCGTTTCACTCCCTGGAATCGTCTACTTAAAAATATACTGCTTTCTGTGTTTTGGTTCCTTAAACTGTTTGAGGGCTTTTTAGAAAAAATGTAGTTACTCCTAGCCATCCAAACAGTGCAACTTTCTGCCGTGTAAAAGTTAAATGAGGTGGCCTCACAATTTGAATATTCACAGGAAATCTCTCCACACTTTGTAGTTTAATTCACTCATTTAAAGAACTGAATTTTGAACCTCCAGCATTTTCCCCAGGGCATAATCTTGAATTTTATAAACCCTCCCCACCTCAGCCTGTAAGCACAAACAATTTGGCCTTTTTGGAGTGGTTCTTTTTAAATCCTCAATTAACAAAATCCTGAGTTTTTGATTTTAGGTATAGTTGATTGTATATCTTAAGTACTTTCAGTCTTGCAGATTTCTTCTCTTTACTTCACAAACACGTGCTTAAGAGAGCAATAACATTAGACCAAATAAGGTAATATCTTTGAAAATCTCTTTGTATACTCTTCAATACTGAATAAATACAAGATAGGATTATGAGTAGCATGGCTTAACAAAGCCATGCTGCATGTTTCCCTACCCTTCCCTAACTATAATTTGTTTGCACATATGTCATTTTAAATCCAGATGACTACATAGCATCTTCAAAAGTACAAACTGCTAAGATATAGACAGGTTTATATATGGATCATAAATGGGATTGGCCCCTGCTATGCCCACCTTCAAGGTACTGTGATGATGGGATACTTGTTGAAACACACAGTATGACTTAATGAACCCTTAACTTCATTAGATACATTTATCACATGTCTGCTATATGTTAAGGGCCAGAGTTCAAGTAACATTAAACCAAAACCAAACCCGTTGCCGTCAAGCCAATTCCAACTCATGGCGACCCTGTAGGACAGAGTAGGACTGCCCCATAGGATTTCCAAGGCTGTAATCTTTATGGAAGCTAACTGCTACATCTTTCTTCCTCGGAGGGGCTGGTGGGTTTAAACCAGTGACCTTTCGATTAGCAGCTGAGCACTTAACCACAGCACCACCAGGGCTCCTTTCAGGTAACATTACAAAATAAAAATAAAAGTCATTGCCGTTGAGTCAATTCCAACTCACAGCGACCCTATAGGACAGAGTAAAACTGCCCCATAGGGTTTCCAAGGAGCGACTGGTGAATTTGAACTGCTGACCTTTTGGTTAGCAGCCATAGTTCTTAACCACTGTGCCACCAGGGCTCCGTAATGTATGTATTATTTCTGTCACCACAGCTCTTTTGTTGTTTTTGTTAGGTACCATCCTCACTTCTAATGAGCATTCTGGCTGTACTTCTTCCAGGACAGATTTTGTTTGCTCTTCTGGCAGTCTGTGATATATTCAGTATTCACCAACACCATGATTCAAAGGCATGAATTCATCTTCGGTCTTATTCATCATCCAGCTTTCAGATGCATATGAGGTGTTTGAGAGGCTTGAGTCTGGCGCACCTTAGTCCTTAAAATGACGTCTTTGCTTTTTAACACTTTAAAGATCTTTTGCATCATATTTGCCCAGTACAATGTGTCATTTGATTTCTTGACTGCTGCTTTCATGGACGTTAATTGTGGACCCAAGTAAAATCAAACAACTCTTCTAGGGGAGATACTGATTATCCCAATTCACTGGTATTGAAACTGAGGCTTAGAAAGGGATCTTTCTGCTAATGAGTACTCAGACCTAAATTTAAGCCAGAATAGGCTAACTCTAAAACCAGTGCTCTTTGCTCTTGTTTACACCTTGGTTTGCTGTCCCAGCTTTATTCATTAAGAAGGGGGTGTGAAGGAGAAAAGGAGAGATTTCTTTAATTTTGAAGACTTAACAACACGTGATACAGGGCATGGAATAGCTTTGGGTGGGGAGTATTGTTTCCTGATTGCTTAAAGTCAGTCTCACTCCCTGATTTCCTTTTTTTCCACACTCTCCCCACCTCCCTACCCCAGTAGTCAGCATTATCTCACACAGCCAACTTCTCTCATCCCAGACTTGGTTTGTGGTCCCTGTGCTGTTTCGGTCTCTTGTGATTTATTTTCTGGGTGAGGTATTCCTACCAGGGCTGAATCTGGATCTTCCCTGTAAATTTTCCATTAGAGTATCTCTGAGCTGGTTTGTTTTCCATTCTGGAATTTGGACGTGGTCTCCTTGACTGCCAGTTGGACAACTAGTAGCTCAGCATAGTTGCTGTGACAGCCCTTTCTTTTCTTGGCCAGCCCACCACCCCCACCCCCAATTTCCCTTCAACCAGGGAATGGAGCTTTTGGTTTTTCCAAATGGGGAGAGGGGAAGAAGTAGAAAGATCACAGCCACCAACTCTACCTACCTACTCTGTGAAATGTAAAAAAAAGCTCCAGAGTACTCATGATTTCCAGTCTTTTAAAGGCAGAGCTGTTCCTATTGAAATAACACCCTCAAATAGTTTGGACCAAGATTGAAATGAACTAGGGTCATTTTTTTTTTTAACTGAAATATTTGCTCAAGTTTACTGTTTCAGATTAGTCCATGGGCCTTGCCTTGCTTCCTGTGGCTTCTTTTATGTACTTCCATGTTGAAATTTTCTCTTAATATGTCCATTTCTCCCATGAGACTGTAACCACTTCCGCTCATACACACAAACACTAAACTTCTCTTTTCATGTGGATTCTCTTAGCATCTTGCCAAGTGCCTAACTTAATAGAAAAGGCAGTTTTATTAACAGTTGATTCATTCAGTGCCTCCTTGACCCTTACTCTTAGCTACAGTAAATAATTCATTAATTATCGGTTATTAATTTAGTAATTCATTTAGATAAGAACAGTGTCTCCCATTATCTCTTGACACACACCGTACAGGTGCCACATTATTGTCGAAGCAAAAAATCTGAGAATCAGAGGGTATGTGGCAGGTTATCTAGTTAAATCTCCACTTTTCCCTCTGTGTAGACAACTTTTCTGAAACCTCTTGACACAGTCACTTAGCTGCTGCTCATTCCTTCTGGTGAAGTAACGCTCATTACTTAGTGAGGCTGCCCAGAAACCCTGCTGTAGTGACTCTGCAGCTTCCACTCACTGACTTTGTTCTGGTTTCTGGAACGGCCCAGAACGATTCTACTCACTGTTCCTCGTTTGATGACTGTCCTTTGACAAATTTTTGTTAAACTCGTCTGCAAGCTAAATATACCTCAGGTATTTCAACTGTTGGACCTCATTGCCATGATACATTTCTGCTTATCAGTGTTTTAATTTAAATGTGTTACCTAGAAACAAACTCAGTTCTTGAGTATGGTCTGGCTAGCACATCGTAGCAAGACTGTCTCCATCGTGGCTTTGAGTACACTGTCTATTAACACAGCTTAAAAATATTAGGGTTTTTTGTGTGTATTTATTGTCTTTTGCTTTTTTTTGCAAGTGTCTTACATCATCAGCTGCTCTGGAATTTATTTCAAGTCAAAATATATCACGCTTCAGAACTTCTTGGAGGAGGTTGACCTCCACCCAGTAATTGGCGCTTTTTGGATTCTTGGTTTTACCATTTACAAATCTCTCTAACCCTATCACTCCCAAGTCACATATCCCTTTTGTCCACAAAGTTAAAGGAGAGAATGGGCTAACTACCTTGCTAATTTCAAGATGCTCTGTCTTTGGGATTCCTTGATATACCAATGTAATATTTCTGTTAAGGCTCCCTCCCTTTGGTTCAGCAGGGTTCCTGTCCTACTTACTGAGCTGAAAACAGATTCTAGGTGATATATTTTTCTACTTTAGCACGTTATCTTTCTGAGATCGATTTAAGGTAGGAAAAGTTAAATAATTATACTTTTGTTATCAAGCAACAGAACTCCTAAGTTTAATACACTCATATGTTTGTTAGTCATGCTCCCCTTTGCCTTTTATCCCAGTATTCTGATAAAATAACAAGCTTCCAGAAGGAACTTAGTCTCAAAACAGGGATTGGCCGTAAACCCTATCACACAGCTTCCTAATAACGGACTTCTGATTTTGGTGGCAAAATACTTGGAGGAAAACATTACAACTGAGGTACCTAAAAAGAAATGGAATTGATGGTTCTAAATCATTACTTTATCTCTTTATACCCAGGGTGTACATGGCAAACTCATGGGCATCCTGTAGTAACTTCTTTGTATCTTCTTAAAAACAAAAGAAACAAAATTTAGAAGACTGATTTCCGGGATGGAAAGAAATTAAAATTTTATATTGTTTAAAGTATTGGTTGCATAAATTGTCTTTTTCAGAATGTGATGAAAACTTCTTAGATGTTGGACTGGGCAGAGAGTGTACCTCATCACAAAGTGGACTTAAAAGACAATCTGGGAGTGATTCTGACCTCTTTCACTCGCCCAGCGATGAAATGGATAGGATCGTCTTCTCAAAGGTATTGTTTGCCACAATATGTGAACTCTTGACAGTAAGTTGTGATCCAGCTAGCTTTACAGGGCCTCCGTCAGGCTCTGATACTATCTTAAAGGAGTGTAAAATGTTCCCTTTTGGGTAAGGAAACTCCAGATTGTCTGGGGCTTAGAAGAAGGCATTGGTAGCTTTAGATTTCTACAAAATTATGACTATTTATATGCAGGTTTTGAAGCTCACATTGAAGCCTAAAGAAATGGAAGTTCCTTTGGTGTGAATTCAGTCAGATAACAGTGAATAATTTTCAGTGGGCAGGAAGGGACCGCAGCTCAGACTATATGATGTCATGTGTATAAATTAACCATAGAGTCATTTCTGATTAATGTGTTTAGTTAGGCTTAAAGCTCCCTGCTGAGCTTGGTGATATCACCTCTCCTCATCTAGCCTGCTTAATTGGAACTTTCTACATCTCTGCTAGGGACCTCAGGCTTTCTCCCTAGTGAATACCCATCCACATGAGTCACCTAGTGTTTGCATATCATTTGAAGCTGTCTCAGGGATGGGAAGCAGGAGATGGGGTGGTGGTGGTTTGAATTCTTTTGCTTGTGTTTGTGTCTAGTTGCAGTGAATTCTGTTTTGTGAATTGAGTTTTCCCACAGCAGAGACAGCAAATAGTACTCAACTGTGGGAAACCCTGGTGGCATAGTGGTTAAGAGCTACCGCTTTAACCAAAAGGTCGGCAGTTCGAATCCACAAGGTGCTCCTTGGAAACTCTATGGGGCAGTTCTACTCTGTCCTACAGGGTCGCTATGAGTCGGAATCAACTCGATGACAAGAAGTTTGGTTATATGCCACAAGCAGTCTTCCTAATACTGAGGTGGTGTGGGTAGAGATAAGTCAGCTGTGAAGACAACTGTTGCATCTGGTGTTTTGAGGACGTTGGAGAAGGTAGTGAGAGCAGTTATGTTAGTGGGTGATTAGATTATCCAAAATAGTGTGATGTTACTGTGTTTAAAAGTTACAGTTCTGGAAATCTGGACTGGAATGTACTTAAGCATCTGGGTATGTACCATCAGAACCTTCCTTTCATTTTTGTCCAGGGCTGCCATGTTCCCATTGGCCTTCCCATTGCCCTTTTCCACCTTTCCCTTTTTCTTGTCCTTGTTATCTTCCCAAGGTTCATTGAAAAATTTATGGTGGAAACTTCAGGATTTCTATCGTTGTTACTTACAATGAGTTGACTCAAGGGATTTTGTAAAGTAAAAAATACACACATTGGGAAGATCTGCCCTTCTCTGAAGTTATTTGGGAAGAGGGAAACCAATAGAATTTTTTTTTTTTTTTTAAATATCAGAGTTTGGGTAATTTCCAACATGACTGAGATTTTTCATTGTAAAGACTTCTAAAGGTCTCTTGTAATACCCCAGGGGAATACCATCATGATGATAGGTTTCTCTAAAAATGTATTGTTTTTGTTTGAGAGAAACAGATTAGATCATATTTCCAAGTTCCAGTTTTAAGATCAAATTCATTGATAGTCACTGAAACTGAGTCATGTATACTTGGGGATTTGTTACACATTTATGTGTGGTTGAAAATTTTTTTAATAAGTTTTTTAAAAATTAAAAAATCTTTATTAAGAAATACTTGCTCACTACTTCCTAGGTACGTGACAGTTTGTCCCTGGGTGTTACTAATCTCTGCAAAATGATAGTTATTTCTATTCACTGAATTGAATGGTTTTTCTGGCTAAAGAGAATTAGAATTTTCTGTGCTTTACCTTTTTATTCAATCAACCAGAAGCATTTAGGAGATTGTTGTGGCCTATGCTAGATTTAGCAGTGCTTTTAGGGTGACTAGACAGGTACAATTTTTAAAACTTGAGACATGCTTCCCGAATAAACTTTTACCTACATCTCACACCGGAGAGCCTGGACAAACCCAGAAATGGTGAATACACTTTCACTTTTTCATGTGTGCACAAGAATGTCTAAGTGGCCTAGGAAGAGATCAGGAAGGTTTTTCCTCTTAGTGTTTCCACTCTGCCAGACTTGTTTGCGACCAGGAGAGGCTTTGCAATAAATGTTTTCTCTAGTATTAATAAACCAAAGGACTTCCACATGAGAAGAGAAGAACAGAGACAAACTAATATTTCTAAAGTGCTTACTATATTCCAGGCACTGAACAGAATGTTTTACATATTTGATCTCATTTCATAGTCCCAGCCACTCTGCTAGGTGGGTGGTTTGGTCCTCATCATAAAGCCACCCATCCAGCAGAAAATGGAAGCTCTGATTAGTAAAGTTTACCCAGAATTACTCAGCTGTAAGAGTCACAGTTGGGATTTGTACCTTGGTTAGCCTGACTTTAAAACCTATTCATTATCTGGTATTTTTCTGTCAGTCTACAAACACCTGCTTTTATAGCCAGTGACTTACGTAGAAGCATGTCAGCAGCCGGCCATCAGCGGCTTCCTTCAAAGTTGTCCTCACTGGTCATCCAGCACTGTGTGCTGCAGAATATCTGAATGTCCCAGAGTTTGTCCCCAGGGTCTAACCTCCTTTCTTCCCTTCTCTGAAAAATAATCTGTAGGAAACACTTTGCAACATCCTTTTCTGTGAACCCTGAGTGGCGCCTTAGGTCACTTCCTGCAGTCATTTGGATGACTCTGGCCTTCAGAGGTCTCTTTAACAGCCTGCAGTGTTTGGCATGAGCTTTTCACTTTAACCTCTTCTTTCCATTCAGTCTGCCTCCTGGCAGATATGACCCTTGGTGAGTGTTATGAGCTTCATGTTTATTCTTAGGAGTATTTGCCAGTTCCTACGGTCTGTCTTTTCCGTAGTTCAACAGCATAAAATTTAATTTTGTTTTAAGAGTGAGAAGAAATCCTGGGATGTTTTTCGGCACTAGGTAAAAGAGAAAGTGTGATCATAAAATACACATGATGTAGGCCACCCTGTAATCCAAAAGAATAATTGAAACCTGCAGAAAATATTAATAGTTGTTGCCTCCTTTCTCAGAGAGAAATCAAAGCCCTTACTTGTTTTTTTCTCCAGGTTATAAGAAGTATCCACAGTTGATTAAAAAACCAAAGTAAACCCCTTAAACTATTGCCCTGAGATAATCTTTAAATCTTAAACCAAAAATATTCCCTGAAGTCTTCTTAAAACCAAACAGTAGTTAAGCTTAACTAGTAAAAATTGTCTGCCTTGAGCATTGTGATCTTTTAAGAGCTATCTGTATAGGATCAAATTGACAGCAGCAGCTCAAAAGATGAGATAGAAATCTTAGGGAGCAGTGAATTAATGTTAGTGGGGGACGAACAGCTCAGAAAAGGAGGGTGAGGATGGTTACAGAACTGGAAAATGCAGTCATTGTCACTAAATGTACATGTAGAAACTGTTGAGTTGGTGTATGTTTTGCTGTGTATATTCTCAACAACAAAATAAATACGACTATATATTAAAAAGAGGAAAAATCAAAGTAACTTCCCTAAGATACTAAACCTTAAGGAAACACCCTTTCTTTCATATGCTGTAGTTTGCTCCCAGAGTACTCAACCACCAACCCAAAAAATTACCTGTTTTTTTTTTTTAACCTTTTAATGATAAAAATAAATATTTTTACAGGATCCATATTAGAAAAACCAGTGTATGAGTACTAAAATTATTAGAATTTCAGAACTGTGAAACAGGGATAATACTTGCTATCAGATAATACTTAAAATTCTTAGTTACAGTATTGTGCATAAATGGATTAATTGATTTACATATATTACCCATTGCCATTGAGTCAATTCCGACTCATAGTGACCCTATAGGACAGAGCAGAACTGCCCCATAGGGTTTTCAAGGAGCAGCTGGTAGATTCGAACTGCTGAGTGTTTTTGGTTAGCAACCGAGTTCTTAACTACTGCACCACCTTAAAATGTACACTGCCTTGTGTATGATATAATAATAATAATCAAGATTTGGTGGATAAATAAATGAAAAAGACTAGTATTCTTGCAATATTAAGCATGATTCCAGGTACAGTGTAAAAATTTGCAGCAGTTTTTATATTTCTTTGTATAGTGTATATATGGTGTATACCTCCATCTAGCATAGATAGATAGTGTACAGCATATAGATATAGTATAGCTCTAGTTAAGGAAGCCAGTTAGGTAATTTTCCCCAACATTTTATAATTAAACTTCTGAAACATATAGAGAAGTTGAAAGAATTATGCAGTGAGCACCCACATACCCACCACCTATATTCTACAATAAACGTTTAGTTGTATTTGCTTTGTTAGATAATTGTACACCTGTCCATCCACAAGTCCATCAGAAATTTTTGATGCATTTCAAAATGAATTATAGATGTCAGTATACAAAAAAAAAACAAACAAACCCTTACCTTTGAGTCAAATTCTGATTCATACAACTGCCTCGTGAGGTTTGTTATTTAACCTCCTGGAGCCTCAGTTTTCTCACTTGTAAAATGAGAATAAGAATACCAACTAAATTGAATAGTGTCAGGATTAAAGGAAATAATACAACTAAATCATTTAGCATAGAAACTCACATGTGATTAAAATCCAAAACCCACTGCCATCAAGTTGATTTCGACTCATAGCAATAGGGTTTCCAAGGCTGTGAGTCTCTACGGAAGCAGGCTGCCGTATCTTTCTCCCACGGAGCTGCTGGTGGTTTCGAACTGCCTACCTTTTGGTTAGCAGTCAATCACTTTAATATCCTAAGTCCATGAAAATTATTTAATTACCAGAGATTTTAAGGTAAAAGATCTCTCTAAAGAAAAGACCGACACATAACTCAAAAACTCTTGAGAAGGACTTTGAATCTGAGACGTGGAACATTCCGTCATGTGTCAGAAGCCATAACTGTTTTCTTCCTGCTGATATATAAATAGAATATATATAACATCCTCAAAACTTGGTGCTTTTAGGGAGGGTGGCAAGGGGAGAAGTAATAGTTATCTCTTATTTGGCAGATGTCTTTGAGAACTTCAGCATAATGGATTCAGGGACTAGAAAGGAATTTTTTTTGCAAAAAATATTTCAAAAGTTTAGAACCCTGCTTCTATCATCCATGATTTAATTAGATGATTAACACTTTTCAACATGCCTTAATTTCTAACCTCTTTAGATCTAAAGGTCATCTGTTTAAATCTTTCATATTAGGTAGGAAAGTGGAGAGAAAAAGTGACTTATTTATAGTCATGTACTTAAAGAAAAGCCACAACTATCTTCTGGATCTCTCGATTTCTGCTTAGGCCATGGACTACTTTCTGTCCTGCAGGGATATTGTAAACACATGATGAAACCGGGAAACTCTTGAGAACACTTGAAGAGTCTTGGGAAGAAGTAATTTGGGGCCTTCTTTAGATATAATCCAGTATTAAAGAAAACCATTTTGCCTTAGCTGCCTAATAATTGAGCTCAGTCTTAATTTCTGAGTTTTGTCCCATTTTTCATTTTCAGGTAACAACCACTAACTGGTAAGAATACTATACCATGGAAACTTAATTCTCGGGAATGCAGGGCTGAAGAAACCATGCAATCACTGTGAAAAAATTTCATGGCGTTTAGTTTGCCAGTGCGATCAGAGTTAAAAGCACACACTAGGAAATGTCATGGCACACACCAGGAAAAAGACTGTGTTGAAGATACATTCTCAACAAATTTCTCCTGTATTTTAATACATATAAACAGGCAGCCAGAGATTTTCCCGTTTTGATTTTATGTCTTACAAAAGAGTGTATGCTTGTTTTATAAGTTTCAGGTCGAAAAAGTGCCAGAGAGATAGCAGGGACTTTTTCAAGGTGATATTTTTTCAAGATTGGATGCCAGGGTGAAGAGGTGCCTGTCTACCCTTCCAAGTTGAGAAGAGCTGACTTCTAAGAAGAATCTATCAAAGATAAATGGAAACTTTAACTTAGATCTTTTATTTCTTTTGACGCCTTTCTTGTATGTTTCAGGATAGGCTTGTCACACATTTTTCTTTATTGATGCCCATTCTTTTGCCTCTTAGTATTGGCTTGAGAATTAGAAATTTAGAAAACTAAGGAATGAGAAAGCTAAGACATCTTGAAAGTGTCCTCTCCATTGGTATTCATGAGAATTTATATTCTCCTCCTCTGTGGAGAGTAGCCCCATGAGTAGAAACTCTTGAGGATGTCCAAGTCATTAACTTAAAATGAAAAATCTATAATTTTATATTAAAGTAATAGCTATCTGTTTTAGAATTTACTTGAAGTATAGTTTTAGTTTTTTGTAATTTATTTTTTGTTGTTGAGAGTATACACAGCAGAACATAAACCAATTCAGCAGTTTCTACATGTACAACTCAGTGACATTGAGTACATACTTTGAGTTGTGCAACCATTTATACCCGCCTCTTCTGAGTTGTTCCTCCCTCATTAACATAAACTCACTACCCCCTAAGTTTCCTATCTAATCTTTCAAGTTGCCGTTGTCCATTTGTTCCCATATAGCTAGATTTTAAAAGAGCACAGTGCTCCAGGCAGACATTCTTTACTAGTTAAGTTAAACTAACATTTGGTTTTAAGAAGCCTTCATGGGATATTTTTGCTTTAAGATTTAAAGATTATCTCAGAGCAGTAGTTTCAGGGATTCATCCAGCCTCTATGGCTCCAGAAAGTCTGGATTCCCAGAGAATTTGAAATTCTTTTCTGCATTTTCTCCCTTTTAATCAGGATTCTTCTGTAGAACCTTTCATCAAAGTATTCAGTAATGGTAGCCAGGCACCGTCCAGTTCTTCTGGTCGTATGGTAAAGAAAGCAGTTGTTCATGGAGGCAATTAGCCAGACATTCCATTTCCTCCTCCTATTCCTGACTCTTCTTCTTCCTCTGTTGCACCAAGCGAATAGATACCAACTGTCATGGCTTAGATGGCGACTTGCAAACTTCTAAGACCCCAGGCACTATGCAAAGAACTAGGAGGTAGAACAGAAGCACTAAACACATTATTAGGCCAATCAAAGTATAGTTTTATTTTACAGTGTGGCCCAGTAAAGGGAACACTGAAGACATTTCTTAGACTGACTTTTAGATATTGTTCTTACAGGGTTTTGTCCAGATAATTGAGATAACAACATGAGGCAGTTTGAGTTAAAAATCAACCTGGGTTTAAATCTTGATTTTGCCTCTCAGTGCCTGTATACTGGAGCCCTGGTGGCATAGTGGTTAAGAACTAGGCTGCTAACTAGAAGGTTGGCAGTTTGAATCCACCAGCCATTCCTTGAAACCCTACGTGACTGTTCTACTCTGTCTTACAGGGTCGTTATGAGTCGGAATTGACTCAACAGCGACAAGTTTGTTTTTTATTGTAGTTCAGGTGAAGGTTTACAGAACTAATAGTTTCTCAGTAAACAGTAGTACACATATTGTTTTATGACATTGGTTAACAACCCCACGACATGTCAACCCTCTCCCTTCTCGACCTTTTTTTTTTTTTTTTTTGGTGAAAATA